TCCTCCTCCTCCTCCTCCTCCTCCTCCTCCTCCTCCTCCTCCTCCCCCTCCTCATCCTCATCCTTGCCCCTTCGGTCCACCCTCAGCGACTCTCGCGGGCCAACCTCGCTCGAAAAACGTTCACATGGCCCTCGGAGGCCGTTGCATCCTTACCGCGCATCCTTACTAAACGGGTTGACTGTACAGTGGAAGCCCATGCCAAGAAACACCCTGCTTGCCTCCACGGTGCCTCAGGTTTCTTGGGTTGCGATGGTCCTGCTATGGAAAGCGTGACGTTCCCACACCAAAAATCAATGGACGTGTCCGGATCTCAGGGGGGGGGTCTTGTGCAAGGCTTTTTGTGGTCGAGCCCCTACAGTGCCGTTTTTAATACATGCTCCGCGAGCGGATCATGTATTAAACATGCAGGGATTTAGCACTAAGAACAAGGATGGCTTCATGCATAAACTTATTCATATATTGATCATGTATGAAACATCTTATATTTTAAGATCCTATGAATTACAAACTGCCCTGTAGTGTATCGCCTCAGCGCCGGCCCCCCCCCCAGACTCGGCATGGGGCTCTCGGGGTCGGGAGCGTCCTTGACTCGGGGGGGGGGGCGGGGGAGGGGGGGCCCTCGCGCTACGGCGACATCCCCGTTCCTGGCCCTCCCCGGCGGCGCCGACACCGGGCGCCACCCCAGGAGCTGGCCCTCGGGAATCTCCCCGGGCACCACCCAGAGGAGCCCGCCTCAGGGACCTCCCCTGGAGCCATGCCTGGGAGCCTCCCCGAGAGCCTCCGCTCCCGGAGCTCCTCCAAGCGTCTCCGGTATAACGTCAACAAGTCCATAAGTAACACTTCCCGCGCTAGGAAGCGTCATCCCGGCACCCGGAAGCGTTATCCCGACAGTCCTCATCATAGGTGTCGGTTGTGGGGGGAAGTGGATTTTTTCCCAACCATCCTGTGGTGTTGGGTCTTTGTTTTGAAGAGACAGCGCCCCGCGTCTCACTCCTTCCTCCCGCTCCTCCCTCCTCCCTCCTCCCATCCTCCCCCACTTTGGCACGCCCCCCACACGTTTCGTTGTCCCATTGGGAGCTCCACCAAAGGCCCAGATGCCAGCGCCCCAAAGGGAGCTCCACCGAAGGCCCAGATGCCAGCGCTCGCATGCGCCCACCGCATCCATTTTGGCATACCCCTCATACGCATTGTGGCCCCATAGGGAACCCAGACGAAGTCCCAGATGCCAGCGCTCGCATGCGCCCACCGCGCCCATTTTGGCACCCCCCTCACACGTTATGTGGCCCCTATGAAGGTAGCTCCACCGAAGGCCCAGATGCCAGCGCTCGCATGCGCCCACCGCGCCCATTTTGGCACACCCCTCACACGTTTTGTGGCCCCAAAGGTAGCTCCTCCGACGGCCCAGATACCAGCGCTTGCATGCGCCCACCGCGCCCATTTGGGCACACCCCTCACACGCTTTGTGACCCCAAAGGGAGCTCTACCGACGGCCCAGATGCCAGCGCTTGCATGCGCCCACCGTGCCCATGTGGGCACACCACTCACACGCTTTGTGACCCCATAAAGGGAGCTCCATCACAGGCCCATATTCCAGCGCTCGCATGCGCCCACCGCACCCATTTTGGCACACCCCTCACATGTTTTGTGGCCCCATAAAGGGAGCTCCACCGACGGCCCAGATGCCAGCGCTTGCATGCGCCCACCGCGCCCATTTGGGCACACCACTCACATGTTTTGTGGCCCCATAGGGAGCTCCACAACAGGCCCAGATGCCAGCGCTCGCATGCGCCCACCCCGCCCATTGTGGCACACCCTTCACACGTTTTGTGGCCCCAAAGGGAGCTCCACCAAAGGTCCACATGCCAGCGCTCGCATGCGCCCACCGCGCCCATGTTGGGACACCCGTTAATCACTTCTTGGCCCCATAGGGAGCCCCGCCGAAGGCCCAGATGCAAGCGCTCGCATGCGTCCATCGCACCCATTTTTGCACACCCCTCACACGTTTTGCGACCCCAAAGGGAGCTCCACCGAATGCACACATGCCAGCGCTTGCATGTGCCCACCGCGCCCATGTTGGGACACCCCTCGCACGTCTTGTCGCCCCATAGGGAGCCCCACCGAAGGCCCAAATGCCAGCGCTCGCATTCGCCCACCGCACCCATTTTGGCACAGCCTTCACACGTTTTGTGGCCCCAAAGGGAGCTCCACCGGATGTGACGCATACACCGGCAGTGCCCACAATTGCATATTGTGGTTAGGTCATTCGCCAGGCTATTTTTTTTGGCTGCCTGGCGCGGTTCTACTGTTAGCGTTCGGTTACCCCCCTGGAATTTATCAATATGGGTGCGGTGCTACTGATAGCACAGGGGGGGGTTCTGAAGGACTTGTTGAGATTCTCTTGAAGACTCCACGGAGTCGCCTCAGCAGCCTCCGAGGACCCCCCCCAAGGAGCCGCAAAGGTCCGTATCGCACCAGGCCTCTACCAGCGGTGGTTCGCTCTGGATGTTCTCAATTCGATAGTCACCTTCTAGGTCTATAGAGACAGACGTGGGCGCACCATCGTTGGCATCATCGGAGAGGGGGAGGCAGGAGAGAGAGAGAGAGAGGGATACGCGCATACATGCTTAGATACAGCGTCATAGGTGTTTGCACATGCATGTGTGTATACATATAGATACAGACACGTATATGTACGAGCAGCTACACATTTACACTCATACATATTCGTATGTGTATATATAAATTTGTTTGTATATGTACATGTATGTATATATATATGTGTATATATAGATATATGTATATTCGTATGCCATTCGATGCTTACGTATCACATCGTTCGATTTCAATACGCGTGAGGGTGTGATCAGGTCATACACAAATATATACGTGTATATAGATATATGTATGTATGTATGCATGTATGTATATATACACATATAATTTTTATTTATATATATATATATATGTGTATACGCATCTATCGATGTGCACATCTATCGCGCAAAGAAAGAGAGGGCTCTTGTGCTGTCTTGGGGCCGTCTTGGGGGCCTCTTGTGCCGTCAAGGGGCCATCTTGGAGCCTCTTGGGCGCTCTTGGGGCCATCTTGGTGGCCTCTGGGGCCGCTTTGGTTCGTCGGAGAGCACAGAACGAGCAAACGCCAGAATCCTTCAACAACCAACGGATGATTTTGGCCTCTTCGGGCCTTCCTGGAGCGCTTGGAGGCCTCGTGGGCCGTCTTGGAAGACTCTTGGGCCGTCGTGGGAGATCTTGAGGCCATCTTGGGCCATCTCGGGGGCATCTCGGCCCGTCTTGGGACGGTCTTGGAGGCCATCTTGGGCCATCTTGGCCGTCTTAGATGCGTTTTGGCGGTCACCTTGGACCATCTTGGCCGTCTTGGGGCGACTTCCTTTAACGTTGAGGTCTTTGTGCGGCTCTCTGCGTGGCCACGAAGGCCCACTAGAAAATTTTGAACGGACCACATGCGACCTAACGTCTCGCATGCCGTGCACCCCTGTAGGAAGCCAGCAGTGGGCAGCGGATCGAAGACGCCTACGGCGAACCACCGCCGCCCACTGCCTTTTCTAGAACACGCCTATGTGGCCAAAGGTTTGGGTACAGTTTGGCCACGCTATTGGACCATGCATTCTCCCATCCGTTGTGAAAACCCTTCGGGGAATACGTGGCGGAGGAAGAGGAGGATGAGGAAAGCGAGGGAGAAGGAGGAGGAGGAGAAGGACAAGGAAACCGCCTGGCAGCTTCTTGGATCATTCTTGGGGCCTCCCGCGAGCATCTGGGGGTCGCTTGGAGGCCTCTTGGGGGCCTCCTTGGGCCTCTTGCTCTTGGGGGCCTTGGGGGGCTTCTTCGGACCTCTTTGGTTGTCTGAGGGCGTGCCTGGCCCGTCTGACGCCGCCGGATGCCGTCTTGGGAGCCTCTTTGGGCCGTCTTGGGGCCATCTTGAGGCGCTTCAGGGTCGTCTTGAAGGCCATTTTGGGCGTCTTCGAGGCCTCTTGGGCCGTCTTGGGGCCCATTAGGGGCCGTCTTGGGAGCCTCTCGGGCCGTCTTGTGGCCTTCTTGTAGGCCTGTTGGGCGCTCTTTGGACGATCTTGATGGCCTCTTGGGCCGTCTCGGGCCGTCGGAAGCCCGAACCGGAGCAAGCACCTAAATCTTTGGAACGCCTAAGGAGAATCAATGATTTTGGCCTCTTCGGGCCTTCCTGTGGGGCCTCTTGGCGGCCTCTTGGGCCGTCTTGGAGGCCTCTTGGGGCCTCTTTTGGCCGTCTTTAGGCCATCTTGAGGCCCTCTGAGGCCGTCTTGGGTGCATCTTGGGCCGTCTTGAATCAATTTTGGCGCCATCATGTCTCTCTTGGGGCCATCTTGGCCGTCTTGGAGGCGTCTTGGGACCATCTTAGATGACATCTTTGGCCATCTTGGCCGTGTTGGAGGCCATCCAGGAGCCGAGCACCGATGACCTGGGGGTTTTCTGGGTGGCCGGCGGGCTTGGCCGAAACCCCATTGCGAGTTCTTTGGAAACGAGTCAAGAGCTGGACGTTTGGCACGCCCACCCCGTGGCAAGCCGAGGGGGCGTTTTGGAGGCAGTTTGGGAGTGCTTTGGAGGCCTCTAGGAGGCTTTTTGGGGCCCTGGTTTGGGCCTCTTGGATGTACATACACACATATTTACAAATACATACGAGAGCGATAGCGGTGGGTAGGGTGGGCTGGGTTGGGTGGGTGGGTGGGGGGCGAGAGACACATGCACGCACACACACACACACATATATATATATATACATATATGTATACACATGTATATACACATATGTATACAGAGGGAGAGAGACACACATATATATAGAGAGAGAGAGAGAGAGAGAGAGAGAGAGAGAGAGAGAGCGAGAGCGAGAGAGAGAGGGAGGGAGCGAGGGAGGGAGGGAGGGAGGGAGAGAAAGAGAGACAGAGAGAGAGAGAGAGCGATATCGAAGTCCGCAAAGAAATGACGCTAGCCAGGTATGGTGCTTTCACCCAAGCCAGACATCAATGTCGCCGCCGGAGGCTGGCTGGAAGGTGACCGGGGGGGTGAATGTTGTCGTCGATGATGGGGCATTCTCCCCTCGCTCTCTCTCACCCTGTCTTCCCTACATCCCCCTCTCCCCTCTTGAACACCCTCTCCACCCCCCTCGCACTCTATGAACAAACGCATGCCCTCACTCTCCTCTCTCCCCTGACTCAGTCTGGAAGATAGCCAGTTCTCCCCGCGTATCGCTGTCACACAGAATTGACAAAGGTGGTCTTTGTTTTTTTTCCAATCCGATAGTTTTCGATGTTTCAACGCGATGCTCCAGCTGCAGAGTGGGCCTCATTTTCGGATCGGCGCTTTGTTTCCGTTGTTGAGAATGGCGCTCTCGCCCCAGCGTGGGTCACTTTTCTGGATCTGAATCCTTTTTCATCGTTGTCGTCCCGCCCCCTCTGCCGCCTTCTCCTGGTTCTCCTGCTCCTTCCGCCCCTTCCACTCCAGTTCCTGCTCAAACGCCGCATGCGAACAAGCCCAAGCGGAATCAGATGGACCGCGTGAGCCGCGAGGCAACACAGTCGTGCTTCAAAGACGACGGTGCGTACTTCCACCAACTCCAGAATGCCCAAGCGGTCATGGTACCGTGGACCGCAATGAAGGCTCATGGACTTCCTGCCCGACGAAGACGAGGGGCAGACGTACTCCACGCGCCTGGGCAGCACAGCTCTTGCTGTTGTGCGGTCCAGAACTCGAGAAGATCACTCCGAATATCGTGCCAGTTGATTCGCAGCCCGTGGAAGTCGCCCCGGAGTACGTGCCTATCAACCTGCAGTTTGCGAAGATCCTCGAACGGAGCGACACCATGGTGCAGCTGGTGTCTCACATGCAGAGGGCACGCATGCGCGATCCTGCTACGCACAAGACTGGAACGACAGTGCGCCACCAGAGGTCCCGGTGGCGAACCTCACGACAATCGTGGAACATCAATGCTTTGCCGGGTGCCTTTTTAAGTCGGCTGCCTGTTCCAGTGAGCGTACTGTGCGCGTTGTGAGTGGGAGATCATGTAGCTGTTTCTATCTTCGCCCTCAAGATTTTGAGTCCGCCATCATCGACGGGAGCGAGCGGGACATGTCTGAGCCACCCAGCGCCCTGCGCGCCCTGCGCCCCGCCCCCTCCGCGCGCCACAGCACTGCGGCATACGCTCATCCTTTGACGTGCGCTCATCTTCCCTGCCCGTTCTCCTCCCCCTGCCCTCTTCCTCCTCCTCCTCCTCCTCCTCCTGTTCCTTTCGTGATACATCCATCTCACGATTCCCCTCCCTCCTCATCCTCGCTGCCTGTCTTCCTCCTCCCTGCCCGTTCTCCTCCTCCTCCTCCTCCTCCTCCTCCTCCTTCTCCTCCTCCTCCTCCTCCTCCTCCTCCTCCTCCTCCTCCTCCTCCTCCTCCTCCTCCTCCTCCCTCCTCCTCCCCCTCCCTCTCCTCCTCCTCCTCCGCCTCCGCCTCCTCCGCCTCCTCCGCCTCCTCCTCCTTCTCCTCCTCCTCCTCCTCCTCCTCCTCCTCCTCGTCGCGATACATCCACCTCCTCCTTTGCGCGATGCATCCACCTCATCCCCCTCCCTCCTCCTCACGATCTGGTGCCGCGTGCACCACGGGAGCAAAGAGGTGTCTCTCCCCCATCTCCTCCTCCTTGAAGCTGCCGCTGCCCCCGCTCTGGCCGATCCTCCCTCCCCCTGCCCTCCTCCTCCTCCCCCTCCTCCCCCTCCTCCCCCTCCTCCTTCTCCTTCCCCCTCCCCTCCTCCTCCTCCTCCTCCTAATACTCGTCCTCTCCCCCTCCTCTTCCTCCCCCTCCTCCTCCTCCTCCTCCTCCTCCTCCTCCTCCTACTTGTCGCGATACATTCACCTTCTCCTCCTCGCCGTGGCCAGAGCAGTCCCTTCGCTTCTGATCTAGCGCTCCTTCTGGCAGCACGACGGCGGCATGCCCCCATGCCCCCCCAGCGTGCGCTCGGCGCCGAGGGCAGCTCGCCTCTCGCCGCGGCCCTGCTGCGAGGATTACCGCCCCCAGACCACTCCAGCCCAACACGAAGGCCCCGAGCTGCCCACCATGCCCGTGTCTTGGCATCGCTCGGGCGCGTGCGTTGTTTCTCGGCGAGGACCATCGAAGAGCATCCTGAATCATCTGGCAAAAGACGAACGCGCGAACCCGAAGCATGCACGGGGAATGGACGTCCGAGCGATGGCAAGGTGTGGGGGGGCATCCGGGAACACTGAATAAGCACACAGATGGATCGCGTACACCCATCAGACATCTCAAGAAAACACAGTTGGATGCCAGATCTCGCCCGAGAGAATCAAGACTCTGGACTGGACCCTGGGCGTTTTCCTGGAGGTTTTTGGTTCATCGTAGAAACATCGCGCCTCTGGGCCAGGACTGCTGTGTGAGAAAACGCTTGGAGTGAAGCTGATTCCCCCGGCGCAGAGCTCTCCTGGCTCTGAG